AAATGAATTTATGGTTGATCTAGATGTCTATTTAGTTTTTAGTGATAATTTTTGGTCTAAGTAATTAAACATCATAAGACATGCCTAATTGTTGTATATTGTTGTCACTTCTTTTTTATTCCAGATCAAAAATATAACTACACTGGCAGAAATCTCCCAAAACTATGCCTTACAGATAAATGAGAAAGTGGGAAATATAAAAAACTACAGTGAACCTGAAGGAGAAAATATGAACCTTTTAATCGAAAAAGGGAAAAACTTTTTGTTAGGTAATTTTTAAAAATTATATATTGGGGCTAGTTTTGTTTCTTCCTTTTAAAAAAATGTAGACTCAAACATCATAACCAATTCCAAATTACATTAATTGGAAATGACCTGCCTAAAGCAGAAAAATGATGTCCCCTTTGGTTTTAAATTTCTTAATGAGAATAATCGCAAAATACCAACACTGTGCCAAAAAAGTATGGCTCTCTGCATAAGATTTGGTAATAAATCCTAGAATTTAGTTAAAATTCCAAACACATGAACTTTGTGTTTAAAGTTACTTTATTATTTTTTTAAAAAGGAAAATTCAGCATTATGACTCTATCAGATTCCCTGACATCAGTATCAGTAATTTATTTTCTTTGCTGACAGAGATGAAATGAGGTCAAAATATGCCAAATTTTTGTGAGTATATCAGATACTATAGTGAGGCGGTTATATGAAAACTTGATTGTTAACTATTACTGACTATTCTCCAAGTTCTTTTCTGTTGGTTCCCTGTGACTGACCAAAAAAAACTGTTTGATTTATTATTTATTATGCTTTGTTTGGGGAAAGGTTTGTTTTAAACTCCAGAGAATTATTAAAGATAAAAATCAAATACTGCAGCTGGAAACTGACCCGAAACCTTACTCTCTGCAAATAACATAGTTTGGAATCTCTCTTAAGAGGCTTTCTTCTCCATAATCATTTTCCAAAGTCAATAATTTAACACTCTCTCCATGGATTAATTGACAATTGGGTCATCCATTACAATCTCTGCAATCACTTCATTAATCTACTTAAGAGACATAAAAGATCCCTGTTGCTAAGTATTTTTTTTCTATCTCAGTGTTTCTGGAAATTATATTGGCAGCGTCTAGTCCTGATTATCAAGATCAAAAATAATGAGGCAGAAATGCCCTTTGAACAAAATAATCTGTAAAAATGAGTTGGGGGTATGTAGAATCAGTCTACTGGACATTTTGTTTATTCAAAAGCAAATTTTCAATGAGTTAGCCACATGAATTAGTACTAACTGGCCCCAGAGCCAGGAACTGGTTGGATTGAGAAATACTTCAGCTATTTCCATAGATACAAGTCAATTCAATCACCAAAACAAAAACAAAATCAAAACTGCCAGTGTAGCTGCATAAAAAATGGTGAAATACGGTCATGGTGGAGTAGGGTCTGCATGACCTGCTTTCTGCCTCATTTACAGGCCATAGGCTCTGTTCTCTTATTAGTCTTCATTGTTACTAAATAACATTTCTAATAAAAACTTCACTTTTGTTAACCTGAAGAACTGAAAAAAAAATGTGTTCAGATTATTACTAAGGGCACAAAGAACTATTATTAAAAATAGACATAAAGAAAAATTCTTTCCGGCACAAGTAACTGTTTACTGCACCGGGTTCCAAGAGCTGGTGACCAGGAAGCTGTCACATCTTACAGTCCTCTTCCCCCACCTCTTGCTCCTCCTCTTTTCCTGGCTATAAAACCCCAATAAAATATCATTACATTGAACGGGGTCCATACTATTCAACTCTTCCTGGACCACTTTAGTATTTTCCTTGAAATCTGAATGCCTTATATTAAAAAAGGTATATGTTAATATGCTTTTGTGTTACTTCTCCTGAAAGCTTTGCATATAAAAATTTGAATTATATAACCTATAAAAAATTATGGATTATAAATCTATACTCTCAGGATAAATGCCAATAAATATTTGACAAATAAGTGTTTAAATTCACCATTGAGCTCTTCCTTGACCATCTTAACATTTTCCTTGAAATCTAAGTGCCTTATTAACCGAGGCATTTTTAATATGCCTTATGTGTTTCTTCTCCTGAAAATTCTGTATATAAAAATTCGAATCTATAATCTCACAATACATGCCAATGAATATTTGATGAATAAGTGATTGAATGAAATTCACTTTTCACTAAAACCTTTTTAATTAAAAAGTTACTATTTCATTAAAGAGCCAACACCCTGATTCTGTTTAAAATATGCTTTTCAGGCCAGGTGTGGTGGCTCAGGCCTGTAATCCCAGCACTTTGGGGAGGCCGAGGTGGGCGGATCGCCTGAGACCAGACTGAGCTAAAGTGAGACCCTGTCTGTAAAAAAAATATAGCCGGGCATTGTGGCAGGCGCCTGTAGTCCCAGCTACTTGGGAGGCTGAAGCAAGAGAATTGCTTTGAGTCCAAGAGTTAAAGGTTGCTGTGAGCTAAGGATGCCAGGGCACTGTACCAGGGGCAAAGTGAGAGATCATCTCAAAAAGAATAAAAAATAAATTAAATAAATAAGGTTGTACCTTACCAAAAATTCTTGTTACTTTGTTTCAAAAACGTTATAGGAATATTAAGCAAAATAGCTAAAGTAATAACTATAAAAGGATCTATATTCATGTCAGGTCACTCACACAAATGCTGAAAACCTTCTGTGGCTCCCACTATCTCCTTAACAAAGCCTAAGTTCCTTACCCTCAAATTCAGGGACTTGTGTTACCTGCTCTCCGCCTTTCCAAACTTCCACTCTTCCCATTTAGACAGCTGCTTTCCTATCAGGAGCAACCCAGGTACTGTTTCTTGTACCACCCTGAGCTTTGCTTCTGTAATTCCTCCAGCTTAGAAAGCTTCTGATACCGGGTGGTGCCTGTGGCTAAAGGAGTAGGGCACCAGCCCCATGTGCCGGAGGTGGTGGGTTCAAACCCAGCCCTGGCCAAAAACTGCAAAGTAATAATAATAATAATAAAGCCTCTGATACCTCTCCATACCTCACAGTCTCCACAAATTTTATCTGCTGCCCTCCAAGGCCCATTGAATTGCCTGCCTCAAGTCCTTCCTCTGAACCCCACAGCATTTGCCTTATATTTATCACGTCTGTTCCTATACTATATGGTCAGAATTTGAATGTAGTAACTTACAGTTCCTCACTTGATAGTAAAGCCCTAGGTTAAGATCCAAGTCGAGCTCATGTCTGATTTTCCCTACGGGACTTCACACTGTGCCTTGGGCAGAATGGGTGTCCAGTAAGTAGAGAGAGAGTGACAAACGGCCCTTGCTCCAAACTCTAGAAATCCATCTAGTACTTCAGTTCTCAACAGGGGACAATTTTATTTTTCCTAATAGCAGGAAAAGGAGGTATTTAAAAGTTCCTTTATGAAATCTTATTCACACAGTACTTTACCCTCAGTATTGTCTCAGTCCTGTCTCCACGTAAGTCCTTAAGGAGTAGTAGCATCAGTCTGGTCATCCAATTACACAGATGAACAAAAGTTGTGAGGATTTAATAGAGGATCGGAGTCAAGATTTGTGGACTTCAACCCCAGTGCTTCCCCACCATCTCAATCATTGTGTTTAAATTTTAATGACAGGCATCCAAGTTGTTTAGTTGCCTTTGAATCCGTATTTATAATAAATATTCCTAGAAGGACTTTCTGTAGCACATACCCAATATTCCAAGTCTTTAGTTTTTTATTTTTCCAACAAGCATCTGTTCAGCAAGTATTAAGCCCTACACAAGCAGTATTTCTTCCAGAGAGGACAGTTGAGCATGAAGAAGAATCTATGGGACATATACAGTTGAATCGCTATTTTCTAGGGACATATAATCAAAGGCAAGTGCACCTGACTTGGCATTCATAATGGTTATATTTATAAGGTACAGTGTTCATTACAGGGATATGATTACCTGAAACTCAACTTCTTATTTAAGAGGAAAGTGTGCCTCCAGAAGACATAGAGAAGGTTGCAAAAGATGTATTTGACATCCAGCTACCAGTAACATCACAAAATCTAACCCACGAATTTGACAAAATAAGGAAACTTACACAACTCTGTGAGGACCACAGGACAGATGAGAACAGACGAAATACAGCAGCAGACGGAGCCCAAAAGCTTTTGGTAAAGGCCAAAGTAGCTGAGTAAGTGCAGTATTAATATTCTTATCTTGCTCTAACAGACCATCTGCGGAAAGGCCATCTGAACGGCATTTGCCTAGGGAACTGTGATGTTCAAAAGAAATTACCTTCTAATAGTTCAGTATCCAAATGAGGGCTAAGCTCTCTGGAAGTGCTCAGGAAGCTGTGCCACTGGGCAGCAGTGGGCAGGGGTGCTCACTCCCCGCTCCCCTTACATTCCAAATGCCTTTCCAGTGGTCTAATACCTCTTTCTACCACTGTACATCAATAAACGCCATATACCAATTAGATATTTTAGCAGGTGTTTGGAATATTAGTATATTATCATATTTTTCTGTTCGTTACTTATTTTTGGTACTTTTCAAGTTTACTATATAATAAGCAGTACTTTGTAAATGTAAAATTTTTAAAAAGACTAAATATAATAAAAAGACCTGAGGGTGGATAATAGAAATAACGGACACCAGTGCTCTAGGAATAATAGGAGACTAAAACAAAATGCATGGTATACAGTTAATGTTACTCTTAACTCTTCCTGCCCTGCTTACTTAGCCAAGCGAAAAGGAAAAGCCACATTGATGTTTTTATGAGCATGGGGAGCTATGGGTCAGGTTACAGGGTCTGTTGGAGGGTGGTAACATCAACACCCACTATTATTGCTGGAAGCTGAGGTCAGTTGAGACCTGAGTCACCCTCACTGTCCGTCATCAGCTTCCACAAATGAAGTGCACCAGACTCACCCAAAAGTCCAACCCTTCTAGTCTAATATTTAAAAGTAGGAAAATTAAGGAATTGCAGTGTAATCACAAGCGATTAAAAATGATGTTGAAAGATTTTTAATAACATGTATATTCTTATGGTGTAATATTTATGCTTTTAAAAATAGGTAACAGATTATACATGGAAGAGAATCTCGCTCATGAAAAGAAAATAATTTGTAGGACAAAAATGCTAGAACAGGTCAATATCTTACAGGTGGCAGGATTATTGCTAAATTTTCCCCTTCATCACATTTTTCCTTTTTTTTT